CATACTGTCAACCTATTCCTTATAATATTGCCTAAAAATCAAATAAATGGAACTGGAACAAGTGCCGTGCTTATTGTAGTTTGTGTTGCATTCACAGTCAATATCGGCGAAGAAAGAGTCACAGCGGATAATACAATGCGCATTCCGCAAAAAAAAACAAGCAAGAAAGAACCTTAATTTCCTGGATAAATTCTCTTTTAGCGATTTCGCTACGAAGCAGCGCTTCGGTCCTGAGCAAATTGCGCCGAGCGTGCTCGTTCTGCTGCTCAAGCGCAACGAAACAGACTGCGCCAACAATACTGTACAAAAGTAGTGCAATGAGCATCAATACATGCTGCAAACGCCACTGCTCATACTTGAGCAGAATCAAATGCCAGAACGCGCTGCAAATGCAAATTGTAGTGATACATACATGTATGCAGCAGCAATGCGTTTAAAACGTGCTGTTGTGTGCTTACACTGGGCCAAGGTAGCACAGTGAAAATAGCAGCTGCTTCTAAATTGTTATGATGTCTTTTTTAATCTATACATAAAATAAAAACACAAAAATTTCAGGTTCATTCATAGCCTTGTTCTTTCCGGGTTTATAATCTCAGCTTGTATTTGAAAGCCGAGGCTACAAGTTAGAATACACAAATCTACGAAATCCAGTTTTTGTTTGCTTCACTTCCAATACAATTTAAAATAGCCGAAAAATTTAGATCTGTCGTTCATTCTCAACTGAATTTTTAGGAGTAATTTGAATATTTTAAACCACACAGCAGGTTCAAGATCAAAAAGTGGGTTTTAAAAGCTGATTTCTGTTATTTTTACCACCCTGTTCGATTAGACACAAGTCCGAAATTTCACATTTCCACGCTGCATTCTCATGAGGTAATAGAATGAGCAAAAATTTAGGCCTGAAGTTACAAAGCAGGATACAGTGAACTTTCAAGACTGATTCTAGAAACTTAACCTGCATTAGATTGTGAATATAGCGCCCAAAATCTTAACTTTGTGGAGCTTTCTTTGTTTAAGAATTGCAGAAATAACTCATATTGAATATAATATTATAGGGCACGTTACGGCGAGGCCAGCAATTTGATTTCAGATTTGTAGCTCTGTAGAGCACGCGAATTATATTACCAAAATTAAACTTTTGGCCTAATTAACCCCATAAGTCCCAAAAGGTATGATAGGCACTATACCAATATTAGTATGTTTGCAAAATGTAACGAAGCTTGAGGAGCTAAAACCGCCTGGTATGAAATAACAGCTGGTGGAAGTCGCAGTAGAGGCAGAGTGTGGAAAGATAATGAACGTAAGTAGTGGAAACAGTGGTTAGCGGGAACTGCTTAAGACTAGAAGAATCAGCACATCACCTTTTCTTGATTTTCATGAAACATTAAGGGATCTGGGTAATCTCGAAGGAACGAAGACTGCGCTACCGCTTAACTTTGTAATCACACGCATCAGCAACATATAGATCATTTTGTTCCCTAATCTAAGTTGAAAAAAAAAAA